CTTATTCTATGGGTTATAGTTCACAGATTTGTCCCAGATTCAGTTATAGGGAGCTCCTTCCAGTTAGCTCCTGTGTCCTTCTGACATGCCTCCATCCTTTTGTTAAACAAATTATCCCAACTTGACTAATATCATTGTATTAGTCCATTCTCATGCTGCTAATAAAGACATACTTGAGACTGGGTAATCTATAAAGGGAAGAGGTTTAACTGACTCACAGTTCCACAGGGCTAAGAAGGCCTCAGGAAATTTACAATCATGGTGGATGGAAGGAGAAGCAGCAAGAAGTGCTGTGTGAAGGGGCGGGGGCGGGGGGGGCGGGGAGAATCCCTTATAGAACCATCAGATTTTGTGAGAACTCACTATCACAAGACAGCATGAGGATAACTGCCCCCATGATTAAATTACCCCCATTGGATCCCTCCCATGACACATGGGGATCATGGGAACAACAATTCAAGATAAGATTTGGGTGGGGACACAGCCAAACCATATCAATCATTGAGAAAATATATTCCACAGTGAGCTCAATTATGCTAACTTAATTCCTTTGTCAATTATCTTTATGGTACAAATGAACCATTTCTAGTTTCTTTCCCTTTTCAGTTTGATTTTACTTAAATTTTTCTCACTGAGATTCAGTTGTCCATTTAACTTCTATACCAAATATTTATCTATTTTTAAAAACTCATTGGGAATTTTCTTTTGTGATCACAGTGCTACCAAATCCAATTCTGCAGATTCAAATACTGCAGATGTAAATTTTAAGAATTTTTGCAGCTGGAGGTAGACTTTTAGAGGTCCTTTAGCCCAATCTACTCATTTTACAGAGAAGAAAACTGAGGCAAGGGGAGGTCAAGCATTTTACCTTAAACAGCTAGTTTTGAAGCAGCAGTGGCACAAAAGTTAGTACAGTGCTCTTCTTCTACAGTATAGTGCAGGGTCCTCTCCTAACCCCTATCAAAATTAGTTCCACCACACACTGAGAAATGCATCTCTACTGAGATTAACGGTGCCATTTCACTAAGGGTATGGATCCAGAAGGAAGTTTGATCCAAACTTGAGTAAGAAAGGAAGAAAGCTAGTTAAACATGGGCCAGAGGTCCTAAGCAAAGTGGTAATAATATAGGTACAAAAGGCACAGGGTCAAGGCATGAAAAGACAAGGGAACTGTGGAGGAAAAAATCAAACCTCAATGAGGTTTTGCAAACAGAAATCCAGCCTCAAGTCAAAAAAAATTGGGGCATTTATTAAAATCTAGGATCTAAGGAAAGAGGGTAATAGGCATGGATAGAAGCCCCCAATATTAGTAAATTAATTCATTTACTTATTCAACTGAGCTGGATATGGACCTGAGTACTTTGTGACTCAATACACCCAAACAATTCATTACAGCCTTCCCTGTCCCTCCACTTCCACAGGCAAATCCCCCTGCGTTGATAGGTAGCCTGGGTCTCCAGTTACTTATTCTCACAAACAACTTGTCCTACATTCCTTACATACAAACATTTACCAAGTTGTATGTGTAAATATACATATATATTTACATGTATATATTTAAATATATCCTAATGTCACTTTAGTATACTCTCTGTTCTCCATTCCCACTCCACATACTTGGTAGAGGTTCTCTTCATCTCTCACTTAAGACTGGGTTCCCTTATATCTGTGAACTGACCTCCTGCCTATTTCCTTATTTCCTCCAATCTGTCTTCCATATAGACAACAGAGTCATTTCTAAAAGACGTAAGTCTGATCACAGACTTCCCTCTCCATATCACACCACTCCAATGTCACCAAGAGAGGTAAGGTTAGAGATGTGTGAGGTAAGGTTAGAGATGCATGTGATAAAGTTTATTGAATCTATCTACCGTTTTTGTAACATACAGAGTACAGAAAGCAAAGCTTAATAAAGTCTTCTTGGATAATTAGGAAACAAATTATGCACTAGTTTTAAAATATTGAAAAATACTCTCCTGTAGGATAAAATAGAATCACTTGCTCCAAATCTATCTTTATAAATGGTGAACTCCACACAAATTTGCGATCACTATCAAATTTGAACATACACACATGCATATACTTGAACATACACACATCCCTGTATGTTTCAGGTTTATATAAGAGAGGCACTGTGTAAACACATAGACTTAGGAATATAGTAGGGAATGCTTTGTTTTTAGCTTACTATATCTTATTTAACAAAAGTATTCTTAATTTATCAATATAAAAATAATAACTATAATGTATTTTGCTGTTAACGTCAAACTACTATTCAGTGAAATGTCTAAAACATATCTTCCTCTTTGAGACACATATTTTATGTGTGGGAAGACATTCAAGCTCCATCCAAGTATCTTTAGTATCTCCATATGTTTTAACTCATAGCATTTGGAAAGCCTGCTCTGCTTATAAATGGTTTACAGACAAACCTCCCAGGTTTAAAAATAAAAAGAGTAAAATGTCACTGGGCTACTAGATCCAGTGAATGACAAAAAATTCCATTTAAGTTATGGCCACTTAAACTTATCAAAATGTTTTAATTTTATACCATTTCTATAATCTTGATTCACTATCTCAGTATAAAATATATAAGGCATAAATATAGTATAGAATAAATTATTTCCTTCAATGTATATGAGTTTGACATATTAATTTCCCTAAGGAAAACAGATATAAAATTTAGAACTACTTCTACTCTAGTCATTTTAAGAGATAGCATTTGAAAATACAGTGAAGGGGGAAAAGACTCTAGTAGTCACTCCTTGCCTAGTTATAGTCATGGATCACTAAATAATGAGAATAAATTCTGAGAAACATGTCAATAGGTGATTTCCTCATTATGTGAACATCACAGAGTGTACTTAAGCATAGGTGGTAATAAGGCTTATATGGAATAAACTATTGCTCCTAGGCTACAAACCTGTACAGAATATTACTGTACTGAGTACTACAGGCAACTGTAACACAATGGTCAGTATTTGTATATCTAAACATATCTACACACAGAAAACGTACAGTAAAAACATGGTATAAAAAGTAAAAAATGGTATCCCTGTATAGGGCATTTACCACGAAAGGTGCTTGCTAGACTAGAAGTTGCTCTGGGTAAGTAAGTGGGTGAGTTAGTTAGTGACTAAAGTACTGAGTGAATGTGAAGGTCTAGAACATTACTGTACACTATTGTGGGCTTTATAAACACAGCAAACTTAGGCTACACTAAAATTATTAAAAGTGTTTTTCTTCCTTCAATAATAAATTAAAGGTAGCTTACAGTAATTTTTCAGTAAGCTTTTAGTTTTTTAAAATGTTTGATTCTTGTAATAACACATAAAACATAAACACATGTATAAACTATACAAAAAATATTTTTTATTTATATCCTTATTCTATAAACTTTTTCTATTAAAAATTTTTAACTTGTAAAACTTTTTGGTTAAAAACTAAGACACAAATGCACATGCTAGCCTAGACCTACACAGGGTCAGGATTATTAATATCACTGTCTTCCAACATTATATATCATCCCATTGAAAGATGTTCAGAGGTAATAACACACATGGAACTGTCATCTCCTATGATAACAATGCCTTCTTCTGGAATATTTCCTAAAGTACCTGAGGATCTTTTACAGTCAATACTTTTTAAATAAGTAGAAGTAGACTTTAAAATACACTAAAAGTATAGTATAGTAAATATAATAACCAGTAAGTCATTTATTATCAAATATTTTGTACTACACATAATTGTATCTGCTCTATTTTTATACTACTTGCAGCACAATAGGTTTGTTCATACCAGCATCGCCGCAAATACGTGAGTAACACATTGCACTATAACGTTAAGATGGCTATGACATCACTAGGTGATAGAAATTTTTCAGCTACATTATAATCTTATGGGAGCACAACCGCATACACAGACTGTCATTAACTGAAATGTAGTTATATGGTGCATGACTGTACTTGAGTCTAAACTAATCTCTCTTCTTCAACTTGTATTCCATTTTGATCCTTATTAACTGTAATAGAGGGGATCAGGGGATCATCTTTGCACTATGTCCCCTCTGCCTCTCCTGGCTCTCCTTCCCACTCACCCAGTTCTGCTGGTACTCTGTGGGTGTACAGATAAGAAGTAGGATTTTTCTTTGTGAGCCAGATCCTCCAACAGACAATTTCGCCCATGATAATATACATTCCCTGGCTTTGGAACAAGCTGTAGAGGAGAAAGAACCCTCTAGAATCACTCCCTTGTTGATGGCCCTTCACTTAGGGTGGATGAATGGGATCCCACACACTGAGAGGCCCTAGAGATGATGATTAAAAGTACAGATCCTGGAGCCAGACTGCCTACAGTCAAATCCCAGATCTACCTACCTCTTACTGTATATTCTTAGGTAAATTACTCAATCTTAGTTAATTCATCCTTAAAATGGGGATAAAAATACTAACCTCAAATAACTATAAAATGAGCAAGTACATTGAAAGCCTTAATAACCATTCCTGGTACATAGAGGATAGACAATGTTAGCAGTTATTAAAATAATTATTACTATTATCACTACTATTGTTATCACCACTATTGTTACTAACGGTGAGGTAGGTAGCAGTGAGGAGATGAATTGCCTGGTTAAGAACTATATATCACATTAAAATAAAACTAACTGCCTTCATTGAGGGTGAAAGGGAAGAAGGAATGGGCTCCTCCCTCCCCTTTCAACCATGGACCTCACACTGTGGCCTTTCTCTAAGAGCCTCCGAGGCTGGTTCCGAAGCAAGGCACAATGCTCCTGCCCCCCATAAGACTGCCCAGCCCCTATGGCTCTGATCGGCTGGTACAGCTAGCAGCCAGGCTCCGGCCAGCACGATGTGATACCCTGATCACTATAGGGAGCCAGGAGTTTCCTGCCCACAGTCTGGTGCTAGCAGGTGTCAGCCAGCAGCTGGGCCGCAGGGGCCAGTGGGCTCTGGGAGACAGCATCGGCACTTCCACCTTTGCCCAGCTCCTGCACTTTGTGTATGGGGAGAGTGCAGAGCTGCTGCCTGAGGAGCTAGGACCCCTTGATGAGGCGGCCAGGGCCTTGGGGATACAGTCCCTGGAAGGAGCATGAGGAAGGGCTCGAGGAGACAGGGCTAAAGAGCCAGATCCAGGCCTGTCCCAGCCTGGCCTCCATGCAAGTGCACATGCGCGGCCACTCGCCCAGCCAACTCCCGCCCGGATGCACCATCCGCTTCACCTTCCTCTACTCCTCGAGACCGTCCTGGCCCTCGACCTCTCTCTGTTGTCCCCCTTCCTCCATCACCTGTCGGGGTGTTGGTAGCGTCTTAGCCAAGAGTCCAATTAAAGAATGAAAAGCCTGCCGGCTAGGCTTCTGACCTGGCACCGCTGCTACAGCGGCCTAGCAAATTCCGCCCCAGAAAGGGCTCCGAGTGCCCTCTCCCCGACGATCGTGGGTTGCAGAAGCCCAGGCCAGCAAGCTGTACAGGGTAAGGGCACTGAAGTGTGCAGGAGCGAAGGTTAACCGTAGGATTGTCGATCGCATCAGCATAATAAAGAGTTTCCTGTGTTCTCCCTTCAAAAAAAAAAAAAAATATTGGCAGACCGGGCGCAGTGGCTCACGGCTGTAATTCCAGCATCTTGAGACGACTGAGGCAGGCAGATCATATGAGGTCTTACTTCCTCATCACCAAAGGAATAATTTATGGTGTTATTGTTGAACTGCCAAGTGTTGGCTCTATGACTGATGAACATGGGCATCAGAGGCCAGTAGCTTTCCTGGCCTACAGAGTAAATGGACAATATATTATGGAAGGACTTGCATCCAGCTTCCTGTTTACAATGGGAGGTTTAGGTTTCATAATCCTGGACCGATCGAATGCACCAAATATCCCCAAACTCAATAGATTTCTTCTTCTATTCATTGGATTCGTCTGTGTTCTATTGAGTTTTTTCATGGCTAGAGTATTCATGAGAATGAAACTGCCGGGCTATCTGATGGGTTAGAGTGCCTTTGAGAAGAAATCAGTGGATACTGGATTTGCTCCTGTCAAGGAAGTTTAAAGGCTGTACCAATCCTCTAATGTGAAATGTGGAAAAGAATGAAGAGCAGCAGTAAAAGAAATATCTAGTGAAAAAGTAGGAAGTATATTGAAACTTGGACTAGAATTTCTTTCTTGGTTTAAAGAGACAAGCTGATCACAATATTTTTTTTTTCCTGCTGACCTACTGCTATACCAATGACGTTGAGTGGCATTTTATTCTTAGTTTTTCATTTCTTAAAGAAAATATATTCCATATCTACAACTATAATACCAAATAAAGTGATTATTTTTTACAACTCCCTTAACATTTTTTGGAAATGACATTCTGATTTTCAGAAATTAACATAAAATCAAGAGGCAAGATTCCATAAGCTGAGAACTCTGGACAGCTGATCAGCTTTACCTATGGTGCTTTGCCTTTAACTAGAGTGTGTGATGGTAGATTATTTCAGATATGTTTGTAAGACTGTTTCCTGAACAATAAGACGTATGAAAGGGGCAGAAATAAATACTTTTTCTAATTAAAAAAAATATATATTGGCAGACTGAGGCAGGCAGATCACATGAGGTCAGAAGTTCAAGACGAGCCTGGCCAACATGGTGAAACCACATCTCTGCTAAAACTACAAAAAAAAATCAGCCAGGCATGGTGGCGGCTACCTGTAATCCCAGCTACTCAAGGGGCTGAGGCAGGAGAATTGCTTGAACCTAGGAGGTGGAAGGTGTAGTGAGCTGAGATCACACCACTGCACTCCAGCCTGGGTGACAGAGTGAGATTCCAACTCAGATAATAATAATAATAAAAACAAAAAATAAAATATGGGCAAATGATCTGAACAGACAGAAGAAGACATGCATATTATCAACATGTATATGAAAAAATACAAACATCACTAATCATCAGGGAAATGCAAATCAAAACTACAACAAGATAACATCTCATTCCAATTAGAATAACTATTATCAAAAAGAAAAAAAATAATAACAAATGCTGGCAAGGACATGGAGAAAAAGGAACTCACACACTATTGGTGGGAAGGTAAATTTGTATAGCCATTATGGAGAACAATTCCTCAAAAAATTACAAATAGAACTACCAGATAATCCAGCACAGCTACTATTAAATATACATTTTTTAGGGCCCAGAAAACAATATCCCAAAATTAAAGCCTCAGAGGTAGCCTCTAAAGCAAATGTTTTTTTCTTTCTCCTGCCCTCCTGTCTCTCTGTCCCATTCTCTCCAGAGGCTGGCCATAGAAACTAGAATCCCTGGCCCCCAAGGCGGCTTGTAGAAACCAAAACCCCTATTCCTCAAAGCTAGTCATAAATTCTATAAATATTACTCTAATTTTCCTTGTGGCTTTCAGTGTAAAAACTGACCACAAAGGAATTATCTAACCTACATTGTTTGACTGTAGGTTATAAAAGCCCCATTCCAGAGAGAGTCTTGTCCCATACCCAGAAGGAAAGAATGCATACTCAGAGAACCCAAAAAGAATCTAGACGGATGGCCCTCCTAGGTTTCCCCAGCCTGTTAGCATTAGATCACCCCTATTTGTCCAATCATATTTCTACATGACTGTCCATACTTTGTTGAACCTAAGCATAAAAATGAACAATTTCCCCTGTATCTTCTGATCTTCATTCTGAAGGCTCCTGTGTATACATGATAAATAAATCTGTATGCCTTTTCTCTAATTAATCTGCCTTTTGTGAGTTGATTTTTCAGCAAAACGTCAGGGAACCAAGGGAAAACTCTCCCTATCCCCTACAGTATCCAAAGGAGAAGAAATCCATGTGTCAAAGAGATATTTGCACTCCCATATTTACTGCTGCCCTATTCACAATAGCCAAAATATGGAATCAACCTAGATGTCCAATAATGAATAAAGAAACTTATATATATGCACTACAGAATACTATTCAGTCATAAAAGAGAATGAAATCCTGTCATTCATAGTAACATGGATGGAACTAGAAGATAAGTGAAATAAGCCGCAGACAGAATGTTAAATACCACATGTTCTCACTCATGTGAGAGAAAAAAAGTTAATCTCGTAGTAAAAAGTAAAACAGAGACTACTAGAGGCTGAGAAAGGCAGAGGGAAAAGAGGGTTACGAAGAGATTTGTTAACAGATACACAAAATTAGAGCTAGAAAAGAGAAATACCACAGCAGGTGGTACAGAATAGCTGGAATGAAGATATTGAAAATTCATTCAAATAGCTGGAATGAGGATACTGAAAATTCCCAACACAAAAAAATGCTAAATGTTGAGATGATGGATGTTACTTATCCTGATTTTTTTATCACTATACATTATATGTATCAAATATAACAGTGAAGTGAAAGAAAGGGTGAATTCATCACTATGTACACCATGGATATGTACAATTATTACTTGTCAATTAAAAATTAATTTTAAAATGGCTATGAATATGAGTGACTGAATAAATGAATGCACATTTAATAGACCTTCAACCAAGTACCAGGGACTGTGCTATTTACTTACACAAAGATTTTCTTATTTGATTCATTATAACTAGGTAGAGATGAGGTTTATTGTTCAGATGTGGAAACTGAAGTTTGTGATGCAAAATACTATTTCTATCATACCAGAACCACCACTGGGGAACTTAAAGAAGATCATAAAAACATAAGCCATATTGTGCTAATCTGGAATATTCATAATAGCTGATATTAACTCAGTCTCTAAGAAAAAGTATAAAAGTTCCAAATAGTTTAAACCAGATAACTTTTAGAACATAATATAGTTGTCTATTGACTATTATCAGTTTTATAGTCTGTTAATTATGCATAAATTAATTTTCACAACAAAGATTTACATATATAAATTATTATAAATTTTACAACAAAGATATATGTATAAATATATATAAACTATATATTTATATTATTTGTATCTTTTCTTTAAAACTCTGAAATCATCTAGTTTACTACTTGGTAAATAATGGATTTTATATGTTTGAGGATAATGAAAACTGCGATCACCAATATTTAGAAGAACACACTCTCTGAATTTTAGGAATTCAGTTATAAAGGACTCTGGGAATAATATGCAACCCTTTTTAATAGTGAAATGAAAGGAAGAATGAATTCAGCTATAGCAAGACAAACTTTAGATGGTAAAGAAGTAACATTAAATAGCAGTCAATCTCATAGTGAGAAAGGTATACTTTTAAAATTTCCTTCAATTATTTTAGTTATACCAAGCAGAAAGTCTTGATTTAGCACTGATGTGTCTTTAATACCCCCATAACTTTTGCTAATATCCCTTTTTAACATAGAAAAATCTAAGACACAGAGCCTTGGCAGATAATAGTATCTAGCTAGTATCCGGCTAACTAATGTTTTATTTTCAAAATTTGCTATGTTCTATTTAGAATCATATTGGTTTTTTACATTTTTGATAGTATTAGAATGTTTCTTTTTAAAGTAGGAGAATGAATTATTATTAATTAATAGGTCTGGGGTGTTTTTACAGGATGATGAAACATTTTTGAAACTAGAGAACTGGTGGTTGCAACATTTTGAATACACTAAATACCAATGATTGTATGCTTTAAATGGTTAATGTTATGCTGTCTGAAGTTAATCTCAAATTTTTTTAATTATTTGGAATATTTAAATAAATCAATTTCTAACAATTTAAAAAACAATATGATGATGTATACATATGACTAGAATTATAAAAGCAGCATGCAAATAAGTGAATTTTGGGAAATAGACTTACCTAGATAAATTGAATTGGATTGGTATAGATGAGAATTTCTAGAGGTGAACCTTAAGAAGCTAACAGGTAGAGCCTTGCAAACTAATGTTGATAGCTTTTCAAGATACCAAGAACCTGGTAAATTTTAGCCTCGGGTGATTTCTAGTGGCATATCAGATGTCTTCAAGAGCTTAGGTAAAAATGCTAAAGCAAACAAAATGTATTCTACATTCATCTGCTTCCTGTTCTCAATCTCTGCAGTCCCTCTTCCTCTCTATCACCATTCAAGTGCACACTGTGCTCATGATGTCCTCTGCTCATTCAATACCCTAAACCAGTTTTTCTGTTTTCAATTCTTTAGTCCAACTTCTGTTTTAAAAGTGTAGGCTTTCGCTATGTTTGAAAAGGGTTAATATTAGCATTGCCTATGTCACAAGGCTTCTGAAAAGATAAAATTATATTTGAGACATGCTTTACAAGTGTTTTTCAAACTCTAGATTCTAACTCATAAAATCAGTTTAATAGGTTCTGGTCAGTACTTTAAACATGAAACAAATTAGAATACAAAAAAATTAAAAAAAGGAGTGCATGCTGCAATAGGAATTGTTATGGTTAACTTCTTTTTCAGTTTCATATATGCCTGTGTGTCTGCACAAAAATATGTGTATAGTCAGTCACAATATAAAATATAATTTTCTGTGATTAAAAAATAAAGCTTTACAAGACAAGTATAATAGGTGTTTTCTGCTATATTTTCGAATAGAGAGCATATAAAGAATGTTTTTCAAAATAAATCAGGGTTACTACCTGGCAAATGCAGTGATCGGCTCCTTAGCCACCTGCCCCATGAGCATCAATGCAGCATTAGCGTTTACCATCCAGGTTAAAACCTTGATGGCAAAAAACAATAACAGCAGCAAGAAACAATAATGGCAGCAAAATACAAAATAAACAAAAAACAGACTAGTCAGTAAAAATACCACTCAACGAGAATAGTTCTATAATTAACTATAAAAAATTGGGGAAATAACTTTAAAATTATATCTGAATTAAGATTTGATCCTTGCATTACTCTGTAGGCTAAAGCTGAAAGTCATGAAAACTGATAAAGAACAAAACTGGTAAACATTGTGCTCACAGCAGCAAATATACTAAAATTGGAACAATACAGAGAAGATTACCGTAGCCCTGCACAAGGATGACACACAACTTTGCGAAGTTTTTTAAGACATTTTAAGACAGTTTTGTATCATTTTGCTATTACCAGTTTAAATCTGTGTAAAGGAAAAAAAACTGGTAAATATTAAAAAATATTCTAAAAGGTTGAGGTTTAACAGAATCTTGCAAAGCCCTTTAATTTGGGTCTAACATATTATAATAAACATGTCTGAAAAGTTTTTAAAATTTTGATGAATTACTAAGGCTTGGGTAATTAGTAGAAGAAAAAACAAAAATGAAACAGGGAGGACTCACTGCAGCACCAAGAGCTTTGGAGCACAAATCATCACTGGTTGCATCACGTCTCCAGTTGCAATGAATCAAAAAGTAGGTTAAAAGAGAATGCACACAGACCAGAGAACTGTTTCACATTTTGGCTCCGACTTTACTTTGTGTATATAAAAAGCCCTACTAGTGGCTCTATTAAGTGAACATTTAACATTTACTATTTTATTTATAATAGTTAAAACAGTAATGTTTGGCCTTGTCCGCTTACAAAATAAATCATAACTGTCCTGATGCTGAGAAATATGGCTCACGAAATCTCTCTACTAAAGAGAGGGATCCCTTATATAGGCTT